TCTCTTCAAAATAGATACTCATATATCTGTGGTTCTGAAAGCTGCCTGCACATTATATAACGTGTATGTAGGTATAACACAAATATATATACATATAGAGATACGTTTAATTTTTCTTTCGTCCAACCTTAAAGTTGTGCTGCTAAGCTTTAAGGCTAAGATCTCTATGTTTGTTTTCGGGCGACAGCATCACTTCAAGGGCGCGCCCTTGAAGCCATGGTGTTGAGTACAGCAGTGTCTCCAGGACAGCCTCCCATGAAAGTGTCTTTGGAGAAAGGAGATGAAGTCTGAGATCAGTTTCAAGGTCTGGTCACCCTTCCATGGCTGGTATTGGAAGCCAAGATTTTCCTCTGTGTGGCCATTACTATCCTGGGAAGGCTAGGGTTTGTCAAGCATTTCAGCAGGTTTTTATGGTCCTTTCCAGGTTTCTATAATCCCTGGAGTTCTAATCTAGGGTTTGGGGCCCAAAGCACATGGGTTTGGACCCTAGACCCACCGTTGATTTGATGTGGCGCAGACACCTAACGCTTTCAATCTGCAGTTTTCCCTCTGTCACGTGGGGATGCCAGAGCTCCCCGGAGGCTCAGTGAAGGTTAAGTGGTTTGTTCACGCCCTGCTGTTGGTAAGTGGGATGGTGTTATCTGAACCCAGTCAAAGCCTATGTTCTTAACTACAGGAGGTCACTGGGACCCAAGCCTGAAGGTTCTGAACCAGTCTTCTGTCTCCCCCACCAGTTGGCCTGTAAGCCCCAGGCGGGTGAGGACAGGAGCGCAGGCGGAACACGCTGTGAGCTTTGAGTTTAAGTAAAGCAGGCTTCGCTGAGTCGGAGTGGACAAAGGAAGGTCTGAAGAAGCCTCAGGATGCAGAGCTCCCTGCAGGGATTCTTGGGGCCAGGAAGGGAGCAGATGGGGGACATTACCTCATAGCACATGAAGATGCCAAGGGGCCTGGTGGGCTTGATCCTGATGCCAATGTTCCCCTCGGTGTTGGGTGGCAGGACGTTGCCCTTGTCATCGATGATCTGCAGCAAGAGTCCCGTGAATCCTGCTCTGCAGGTCTCCCCGGCCCTTCTGCCCCCGCCCCAAGCATTGCCTGGCTCATTCATGGGACACCAGTGGGGATTAGTGATGAAGGAACCTTGTCAGAAAATAGAATAGAAATGCCGAAAGCCTTTGAAATCAGCAAATATGAAACCCAAGTCAAGGGTCTGTTTGCTTCATGGGTATGTAGACATCACTGATGTGTCTTCAAGCTAGAAAACATTGATCAAGAGAAACGAAAAGCACCCGTTTGTAGAGAGAGCGGCCAGGTATTCTTTCCTATCCACCGCGTGTGATGCCTCTGGCTGCCAGGGCGAGCTGCATCAGTGCCCACGACCATGCGGCTCTTAACCGAAGCCTCCACAGGAAATCGCAGGAAAAATGGGGAGAGAGGAGGAAAGATGACTGGGGCAGGGGAGCATGGCTGGTTTTGCCACCTGGTGTCACACGATGGACGGTTCCACCCCCAGCTGAGCCCCAACTGCTCCCTGCCAATGCCCTCAGGACGAGACCTGGATGTCGTAGGGTGCGAGGGCCTTCCCGGTGGAATCCAGCTTGATCTTCATTTCCCGGAGGGTACCACAGGCCGCTCCCTGTTCACACATGCAAAAAAAGAGAATTGGGGTTGGCCAAAGAGTCCAGGCTGGTCACAAAGCAGCAGGAATCCTACGTGGCATCCCCACTCCCTGAGGTTATTTGATGCTGCACCGAGAGCCCTGCGGGGAAGCTGGAAGAAATAGATTCTACACTCACGGTGCTGACTCAGCCCTATTCAGCAGACACTTGCTACAACCAACACGGGCTGGGTCTGTCCTAAGTGTAGGGTCAACAGAGTTCAGTGAGGAGGAAAAGAAAGAAGGGGGTAATTGGGGGCTGTGGGCATGTGACGTGGGGCGGAGTGCCCACTGTATGCCAGGCATGTGGCAGTTTGCCCGGGGAAGGCCATGAGTCTGTTTATTAATAACAAACATTTTTCAGGGCTGCTGAGCAATGGTAGGAATTCTGCCTCCCCTCCTCCTCCGTGTGTGCTGAGGCTATTTAGATTACTTTCTCTGCTGGTGCTGCCCCGTCTCCGTTTGTCTTCCCGATGAACTTTATTCCTTCTCTATAGCTCTCTTGAGTATCGTTCTTTCTACAGTGGAGCGCTTGACCTTCAGACAGACGAGGGTCTTGACTCCATCACACCTAACTGTGTGCCAATCGACCCATCTTGATCTCCTCCACCGAAGGGGGTAATTGTAACACTCACCTCCCAGCATGCTTGTAGGAATATGGGAGGCACTCCCCAAAGGTTTAGCGAATGACCACTACTAGCTGTTACTCAGGCCCCAAGAAGAGTCCGTTGAAAGATTCTCCTTCTGTAGTATTCTCCTGATACTTCTACTGTAGCCTACAGGGCATCTTTGCTTGTCTGTTTCTCTTGGTCGATAAGGAGCATCCCCAGAATAGAGATTGCCCCGTTCACCCCTGAACTCCCAGCATCTGGCATGCTCCCTACCAAAAACCCCACGAAGGACCACAGTAACTGCAGTGTGAGCATGTACTATGGGCTGGACACTGGCCAAAGCTTTACAGACTTCTTTCCATTTACTTTATAGACACCTGGCAAGATTGGCATCATAATTCCCACTTTAGAGAGGGGGAAGCTGAGATGGAGAAGCTTGAATGAGAGCCCTCTGCTTTGTGTTAAAGCTGTAATTGTCGGGGCTGAGACTTGGACCCGGGGCTGAGCTCCTGGGAGAGGAAGTACTTTCCCCTCTGACATCTCACTGCTCATACTGGAGGCATGTGAACTGTTGCACAGGTGAGTGGATGGGGGTGAAAGTGCTTTGAGCAATAAAGCACCATCTATTGCTGCAAATAATTGAGGCAAAGGGACGGGAGTCGTGGGTGCAGTGTGTTCTTGCCCACTCTCCTCCTTGTCCAGATATAAACTGTGAGCCATTCAAGCACAGGCCTAGCATCTCAGCATTTGTCAGGCCCGGAAGCAGACCAATTAACTGAATCACTATTATTTTATTGCAAAGAAATATCAAACAAGTGTGCGAATCAGGACTAAAACAGTCACTTGGTTACAGGGTCTGAGATGGCAGTCATCGCTCTGTGAGCTGGAGGGATAGTGGGGAGGGGGGCTCTGTCCAGTACTGGAAATGGATTGAGCATGTGTTGAAAGAGAGACACCCATCCACACTGTCATTGATGAGGTCCCTGAGGTTCCAGACATGCGTGATACTCTAAGTGCTCCACCCACCTGGCAGCTCAGTGATAGTCTGGGATGACACTGTGTGTGTGTGTGTGTGTGTGTGTGTGTGTGTGTGTGTGTGTGTGGAGTGTACAGAAAGTCCCTGTCCCCTAATCCACCTTGTTAGTATTCCATAATCAAACCTGTGTGTTGTCCTCCTAAACACCCAGAAATGAACTTTTAGAGCCAGCTCCTTCCCGCCTTGTAGCCCTCGGGAGGGGTGGTGGAGTGACAGGACTAGCTGACGGTGGTCTCCATGTTGCAGGTCAGAGTGGGCTCCTCTGAGCTAATGATCACAGGCACAATGGCAAAATGTCCTTAGACACCCCCCTTTTCTTTTTTTAGAGACAGGGTCTCACACTGTGGATCAGGCTGGAGTGCAGTGGTGCTATCATAGCTCGCTGAAGCCTCGAACTCCTGGGTTCAAGCCATCCTCTCACCTCGCTCTCCCAAGTAGCTGGGACTATAGGCATGCACCACCATGCCCAGCTAACTTTTTAAAAAATTTCCTTCTTTTTTATAGAGATGGGGTCTGGCTATGTTGCCCAGGCTGGTCTCAAACTCTTGGGCTCAAGCAATCCTCCTGCCTTGGTCTCCCAAAATGCTGGGATTATAGGTGTGAGCCACAGTGCCCAGTCCTTACACGCCTGCCCCTTAAAAATTTTTATCCAACAGTTTTCAGCACATTGTTCTCTTTATAAGTTGATAAGCTATGAATTTTCTTTCTCCAAATCAATTTGGGGCCAAATGAGCCTAGAACTCTGGAAGCTCCCGTTGGCCTCAAGCAAAGCTGTGCACACAGTAGGCCCTCAGCACACACGTGGGCATGGTCTAGCACATCTGCAGGGCTCGGTGGCCAAGCATGCCCTGACTGGCCAGAAGGGACCTGCCCACCTACCGTTTCTGATTGTCCATAGATTCCGTAGAGCAGAAGGCCCGTCTGTCTTTTCCACTCTTTGTGGTCCTCGGGCAGCTGGGCCTCCCCGCCAGTATAGCAGTACTTCAGGGTGGGAAACCTGAGACTTGGGGAGAAGGCAAGATGTCAGGCCTTGGACGCTCCACCTTGGCTCCATCAGTTATGAGCTCATAGCTTCTTTGTCCAGATCATTCATCCTTCTGCTTCCTCACTTTCTTATCCACCTGATGGTCATTTTACCAGGTGGAGGTCACCCCGTTCCTGTCTGTCCCTGTGAACTCTTCTGGCAGGAGGTGGGTGGGTGGTGGTGAGGCTATTGCATTAAGTCAGGGAAGTTTGGATGAAATTTGGATGTTGATGTAACAAGAGAGAGAAAAGGGTGTTTATCAGAAGTCAGCTTAG